TCATCAAATAAATAAGAATAAAAAAAATCGCGGGGAGAACTGGTTCTCCTAGTGAATATAATTTTCGAACTTTAGCACCAGTGCCCAGTTGAATTCTTGATTTTATCGCGAAAAAAGATTTAAAAAAAACACCCAGAATAGTCGAAAACTAAACACCTGCTTTTTTCGAGGTCAGACTAACCTCACTGAAGATTAAAAAAAAAATCTCTGACTGTCTCTGGAAAAAAACCCCGGAAATTTCAAGCTGTGGCCGGTTAAATTTTTGGGACTTTAAATTGAATTTTTCGTGCTTCGCACCACCCGCTTGATCCAGAGATTACGATTCGGCTAACCAACAGCCGCAAAATTTTTTTTTAACAATCCTGTCTCATCGTTCGTTTTAACCTACTGACTCCGGCCCCACTTTTTGATTTCTTTGGACCGTCCACTTCTTTTTTTTAAGGTGGCGGTTTGGCCTTCGAACGGCGGCAATTTGTCATTTAAAATATTTGGCTCAGTTTTAATTCCAGTCGTCAATCTATGCAATTAGCAAGACTTTTCCAACTGCTCCCACCAAACTTGCTCGTTATTTGGTGGTCATCCTGCTGGCAATCTTAAAAGTCATTTTCAGATAATATCAACACTTATTGTTCCTTTCAGCGCCAAACTTTACAAAATATAACAAACAAGCAATAATAAGACAAGAAAATAGAACGGTAGCTAACGAGTACAAGTGGGAAACGAAGAATATTAAGAATAGAGAGAGATCTAAATATGATATCTGTCGATGGGCTTCCTGGAAGGCAGTCTGTGTTTCGCCCCTAAGAACAAGGAAATATTAGAATAGAATTATTAGGTAAAATGTAAAGAAGCTATGCTGATGTGTGAAAATTGTTTTTGTGCAAAAAAAGTGGATTTCTTGTCTTTTCGAAAAAAATTTTCGTCTTTTCAGCTGGACTGGATCTGCAACCAGTGGATGTATGGCGATGCTTAAATTCTCTCATACAATTACGCGACTATGTAAATAGTAATAAGGTAAGGAATATTTATAGAAATAGTAATAAAGTGAGCAGGTTTCTTTTCTTTGAGTTAGTTTATATGCCTTTCTCTCCTCCCCTATATACAGGAATGTGGGAGATGGGGAGGAAAAGGGGGGGGGGGGGATAGAGGTTTAGAGAAAATGGGATGCCAAGGATCCTAGATGACCTGAGATGTAATCACGAAGCGGAGAAGATATTCATATATGTATTGGGGATGAACTCATGGACTGGCCTAGTTTTTTTTTTATATATTTTACTTACATCAAAACGAAAATTCTACCAATTTTCGAGGGACGGCCACCGTCCTACCTCCGGTTATTCCTATTGCATGTAGGGTTGGTCCGACCCTTGCCGGTCGATACCTTGCGCTGAATCGACTGTTGTTCCTGGCCCTGGTTACTACCTTCTTCCATTCCTTCACAGGGCCTTTGAGGCCCGTAGTGCCTTTTACTTTACTTAGGTGAAGAAAATGCTGAGCTCATAATGTAAAATGAGATACGCTAGGACAGGGCGTATTGCTGACCTTGCTGATAACCGATGAACATTGCGCATTAGTAAATACTATTATCACTCTCAATGAAATCACTGGCGTGGGATACGTATAATGATGCCCGGGTAGTCTTGGTATTCTTTATGTATTTATGTTAATTGCATATTTCTGTACATTTTTGCCTAAGAGGAACAGGAATCTATGGTTTCATAATATTTTTTTTTTAGCTAAAATTGTCTGATCTTGAAAATATCTTAACGCGCGATGCTTGGGACAAAGATGTTGCGAGCGTGATTCTCAGTTATGCATCCAGTGAACAATCGCATCAGCTTGCACTATTCGCAAATCCATCCAAATATCCTCCATTTCGATCATTGCGATGTCGTATGCAGATTACGGTAAGTTACAGTAGTTTATTTTGTTAAGATATGCTACAGAATGCTGTACAGTATACGACATACCGTAGTGGTTTGATGAGCTTTTGTTTAGTTATCGCTTACATTAGTAAAAATTAAAAAGTAGGAATCAGTAAAAATTGAAAATTAAATAGAATATTTTTCGTTAGAGATGAAAAAAATAGATGAAATAAAAGTACTTTTTACGAAAATGTAAAAATTTCTCCCCAGGTCGGCAAACCGTTATGAGTTTTTGTGCGAAGTCTTTGAGTTCCCTGCACTTTCACATTCGGTTCTCGTAATTCTTCCAACTTGTCACATTCTCATCAATTCTACAAAACTTTCGCGCATTCTCGCCGATAGGCAATTGGCAGTCTTTTCTTAGTTGCTTGATCAATTTCGCTGCATCGCTTGGTGGTCATCTTGCTTCTAGTAATCCACACTTTCGTTTCTTTGTTTTTTTTTTTTCGTGAGTTCGAGAAAAATGTGCTTTTTACCAATAAACTACGGGTGAATTATTTTTGTCATATTTAATTGCACTTCGGTCTCAAGATATAGATAGTAGGTGGATAGTGATCAAGCTTAAATATCCTCAGTCTCCGTCTGATCGGTGAGAAAGTTTATTTAGTGTTTTTGGATTTCTTATTTTATTTGATCACTCAGGGTTCGACTTCGCTACTTAAAAAACAATCCTTTTATGATTCATTCATTCGTTTCGATGGTAAATTGGTGCAGGAAGTCAATCGCACTGCCACTTTTTTGCTTGTTAAGCAACCCTCAAAATAGGAAGCCGGTTTCGACAGTTTATTAATAGCGGTTGCTTGTTTTTGGCAGCTGTCAACCTTGGGATGCTGAAGCGGTAACTTTACCTCTGCTTGCCACTGAGGGTGACTGCGAAGAGGAGTTTTGATTTTTAATTTTGATATTCTGGATCATATCAGTTGATTTGACGTCTCTCTTTAAAATTGATCCCATTGTTCTAAATATGCAGCAAAAAATCAGATTACAAGTAACATGCCAACAGAGTTCGTATAATGGCAGCTGATCCAAGCAAACACCCAGCGTTTGCTCGTATAATGCTCAAGTAACGCACACTTCCCATCGATGCCTGCCCATCTATACATGTGTGACGTGAAAGATCGGGCTCAATATCTTCAGAGGCAATACAGTTACTAGGTGTAAGGAGCATAACAACTTTTGTACATAACTGTTTTGCCTGAAATACCTGTTAATTTTTGTAGTCTGGATCTCCATTTGGGTAGCTGGCAAC